TGCTTAATCCTGTTTTCCCTCTCTCCATTGGGGTGATCCCTCATTCCATGCAACATAAACGAAGAGTGCCAAAACCACATGGACGGCAAGCACAGCAACAATGGCAGCATAGAAGTAGCTGTCATTGCTGGAGAAACCCAGAGAAGCTGTGAAGAAAAGAAGAGAATTAAGCAGAAATTACAGAAGCAAATCAGCAACTAAGGACTTAAAGGGTTAGTTCACCCAAAAATGAAAAAAAAGCTTGTGTTTTACTCACCCTCGAGGCACCCTAGGTGTATATGATTTTCTTCTTTCAGATGAATCCAATCAGAGTTATATTAAAAATGGTCCTGGCTATTCCAAGTTCTATCATTGCAGTCAGCGGGTGTTGCTGTTGAACAGTCCACAAGTCGTCAAATAAAGCTTGCGCATTCATAATATTCATAAAACGTGCAGCAGACGCTCCGGGGGATGAATAAAGGCCCCATGTAGCGAATCCATGTGTTTTTGTAAGAAAAATATCCATATTTCAAACGTAATAAACACTTTTCTCTCACTTCCGCTGACTGTCATACACTGAAGCAGTTCCGGCGGATGACGCAACATTTTTTTTTAAACACATGGATTCGCTACAGGGGGCCTATATTCACCCCCCGGAGCCATCTGCGGGACGTTTTATTATGAATGCGCAAGCTTTATTTGACGACTTGTGGACTGTTCAACAGCAACACCCGCTGACTGCAATGATAGAGCTTGGAATAGCCAGGACCATTTTTAATATAACTCCGACTGGATTCGTCTGAAAGAAGAAAGTCATATACACTTAGGATGCCTCAAGGGTAAGTAAAACACAAGCTTATTTGCATTTTTGGGTGAACTAACCCTTTAATACACTGAGCTGTAGTATAACACGTATATTAAATATTATTATTGTTATAATTATTTTAATTAATAAATAAATATGTTGGGAGTATCAGCCTTTGAAAGCAAAATACCTTCAAAGAGAAAAGACTTTGATGCAAAATATAGTCCGATGGGTAGAGTTATCATCAGAACAGTGAAAAACAAGAGTGTCTTGAGCACAGAGACAAGAGAACCGTCATTCCTGAATGCATGCAAGGAAGAAAGATGCAAGAAGAGATTAGACAAATTAAACTAGTCAAAATGTGAATTTTAAATAATCTGAAATGCAACCGTAATATTCATTCATCGACTATTTCAATTGAATCTCTTAGTTTCGTGCCCTTAGTCATTGTGATTTTGGCGTGAGGTCATGTGCAGTCTGAGAAGAATAGGCACATCAAAGACAATCTTACCCTCTGAAATCAGGCGCGGTTGCAGGCACGGAGCCCACAGCTGTCTTGTCGTAATTTTGCATGCTGTATTTTTATTTATGGACAAAAAAAGAAGAAAGATATAGGAACTCAATAGCTCGTAGTTCCGTGCTGCGACATCTTGAATTATTTGCTCTTCCGGGTCTTTGTCACATGATCTGGATGATCGTGACAGCAGTTGTGCGCGTGTGTTTGTGCATGTCCGCTAGGGGGCGCCGCAGCACTGTAACGAGTTCGCAGTAGTATCCTACACGAGCAGTACAGCACCTGAACTTCTGAGAAGTCTGCATGGCGCCTTTCCACTGCACGTACCGTTCACTCGGCTCGGTACGGTTCACTTTTGGGGGGGTTTCCACTGGGTACAGTACCTGGTACTTTTTTTAGTACCACTTCGGTTGGGGTTCCAAGCGAGTCGTACCGTTACCAAAACATAACGTGTAAACTCTGCTGATCACGGATTGGCCGGAGAGAATCGTCACTACCTGCGTCACTGAACTTGTGACACAAACCCAACAGAAGCGCTAGATTTAAGTCAGCACAGCCAGCGAAGGATCGTGTGCCGTGCAGTGGAAAAGCGCCATAAATCAGTAGTGTTCAGTACATGTTTTGGGGATCTACCGCACTGCACATTTTGTATGTATTCAAACGAGAAGTCTGTTATGAAGGAGAGCTCCTTAAATAAACTAAGTATGTCGGATAAAAGAGGATATACTAGTAAACTTTAAAAAGTCTTTGTAATACTAAAATGGTTGCAAGTTTTCTGGAAAAAAGACGAAATTTCAGTTTATTATTTTTTATTTAATTAAATAAACCAGGACTGGTACTGGCCTTTAAGTTTTAATGATAAAATGATTCTAATTTAAGAGATTTTTAACTAGAAGAGATTTTTAAACATAAAACCAGCATTTGTGGACTTTTAATGCAAAACCTTGTAGTTACTGAGATTTAGCCATTGTGACAGCTTCCCTATATGACAACTAGCTTCTATTCATAACTTATATATATATATTTTTTTTATGGTACTTAATTATATGGAGGAACCGAGGGCCAGTTGGTAAACATTTCACTGCATTACATATGATGATATTGACACATACAATTATTATAATTTAAAAGAGTATCAAAACCAAAAATAAAAAATTCTGGAGAAAATCTGCATAATTGGACGTTTGCATCAATACTGAGTTATACCAAGTTACTGAGCTAGCTCTTGTGACAACTAGCCCCAGTCTCACTTATATACAGCAAATTATTTATAATTAATTCTGTAATAAAAATAAAAAGTCATGACTTGTAAGTGAATATATATCAGTAAAAATAAACAAATAAAATCTGCTCAAAATGAAGACCTGGGATTCAAAAGACTGTGCTTTTACTCCACTGAGCTGGACAATACATTCATGTCTATGGCTCTTTATGTCTGTGGTGGATATGGCACTGCTAGAGCATCGGGGGTTAATACTTCAAGCCGTTCTGTGAAAATTACTGCTCCAGAGAAGCTTGCATCAGGTCATCATCATGCCCCTTTCAGCCAGCTCTTTTAGTGTCTGGAGAAGCGATAAATCTTCCTCAAGGACAGGAGCTAGTGTGTGCAGAAAAAAATGAAGGTAAGTAATCGGACTAGAGAAAAGTATGACTGTCAATTATGGAGGCAAGATATAACAAGAGAAGAAAGACAGGACTACAAAGACAAAGATGTAGTTTAGTTTTTAGCACCGTTGCATGCAGACCACTCAGATTGGAAATGCCAACCCTGATTGTATGGAAATACACAACATAAAGTAGATATATATCAAAAACATTTCACTAAAATCATTTTTGTTGCAAAAGTGAAAACATACAACTTGATCTACAATAATTATGGATGTATCAGTTGTATGTTACTCTAATAAGCATCAATCTTATATTCCTTTATTATTACTACAAAAAAAATCTGTTACTTTAACACACTGCCTCATTTACAAAACATCCATATACAAAGAATTTACAAAGGACACACAGAGCATCAAAATGTCTTTTTCAGTGTTGGTTGCCATGGTATCAACCAATCTTATAAGAACACAAGAGCATATATTCAACCATCTGAAGTAGTTTTTTTTAGCTCAAGTCTGCTCAAACAAAATACATAAAAAGGCTGACGACCACGTAATTTGTTAAGGAATGTTCATTCAACAAGAAATACTGGTCTTATAGGCCCCCGGACTAGTGTAGAGTCGATCGGATACAATGGGGCTAAAAGCACATGTTATAGTGAAAATGTGCTTTTTGATGGAGCAACACATTTTGTGGGAAAATAATCATAGAAGTCGTTTGTTGGCCTGCTATGAACATGACCAGTTAAGAGCTTAACAGAGACTTTAACAAGTAGCAAGATAAGTGTTAAAAAGGCCAAGTCAATTGACTACTTCTGGCTTAACAGCAGCTCTATCTTCATGTTTCATATTCCTGATAAGACAACTGCTCTTTCTTTTTCTCAACTAATTTCACCATGGCATGAATGCATAATTTTGAATAATATCAGTCCACGAAGTCAGATTTGTGATGCAGTCTGGAATCATAAATCACAAATATTTGCTCATTTGTCAAAAGGACCCCCCCCCCCCCCCCCCTCCAAGTCTGGTTTCTCCTGAGAGTTTTTTTCTTCTCCACTGCTGATGGTGTTTTGGATTCTTGTCACTGTTGCCTTTGGCTTGCACAGCTGGAGTTTTAAAGACAATTAATATTCATTAATATTATTGATTTAATGCACTGACACTGCTGGATGAGAACAAAAACATAACTGAGCCGGATACGAACACTAAGTTTGCAATATTGACACTGTTATTGAACTGAATTGAACCGAATAATAAAACTGTTGCCTTCTGTAATGCTGCTTATAGCTTGTTTCATAATTGATGAAATTTGCAACATCGACAGTAATTGAACTGAACTGAAACAACATTGAACTAAACTGAGCACAATAATGACATGTCTGTAGAGCTGCTTACAGCTGAAATTGAATTTGTTTGATAAGTGATCAATTTTATAGCTTTAACAGTTATTTTTTCTGTTCATTAATGTGAAGCTGCTTTGAAATAATCTGTATAATATAAAGCTCTATATAAATAAATGTTACTTAATTTCACTTTAAAGTCTTCCGTCAACCCTCCAACCCTGGATGAAGTGGTGAGGGGGGCCTTTAAACCCACACTAAAGGCTCAGAGTAAAAAGCTCACCAGCATGGGGCAAAAGGTCCTCAGTATTTATACAAATATTTAGGCCATCTGATTTTTAAGTCTTGACATCCCAAAGCATGACGAGATCCAGAGCAAACAACAAATGGTGCTAATATGAGCATAACCTTTAGCTCAGAGAGACAGTGATTTTTGTACGTAATACACGATACTGACCTTTTGACTCTCCATCTCCATCTCATGTCAACAAATGAAAAAGTCAGCCAGCTATTTATTTTCATTCCAATTATTGTGCCTTTAGCTTCAACAGTAGGGGCACTTTTCCCCTAAATACTATACTTTTACATATTACTCAGCTACTGAAAAACTGTTGTTTTAATTACTTTGAACAAAACTGAAAATAATATACTCAGAATATACTGTATGTGGTAATTTTATTGATTCTCATTTGCTACATAACTGTATAAAATTAAATATATATTATATATATATATATATAAATTAAAATATTAGGTCAGTGTAGTGCAGAATTGACTTTTATTTGCTGAGTCAAGGATCAGTCAAATTTCCTGGTGCATAGTGAACCATGAATGTTTAGAAAAGTGCTGCGGTGATCTTGACAAATAAAAACAAATGCGCATTTTACCCCGGTGTGCCTTTAACTCCATTGTAGTCTAATATTGTGGTTGTTAGTTAAATGGGGAGTGATCTACTATAAAAGAGTTTGTGTTACTCCACCCTTATACATATTGGTCTCTTTCACATTGTTATTGGTTCCCGCCGGCGAATGTTTACTCTTTATGGCTTCAGTGTTGTACCTGGAACTTTCAGTGAACAGCGCTCTTGGGGTGCAGAGAGCACGGAGAATCTGTTTGTACTCTTGCCTGAAGTTCTGGTTGAGCAACCCGTAGACAACAGCATTCAGACAGCTGTTGAAATACGCCATGAAGTAGCTGGTAACAAACAGCCACTCTGGGACATTCGGTGCTACTGTTGCTGGGTTAACTGCCACGGCGAGCCCAATGAAGTTCAGGGGCGCCCAGCACACGGCGAACAGCACAAACACCACAAACATCGTCAAGAAATTCCTCAGGTCGGCCACTCTTTTCGGATTGGGGCGGACACGACCTTTGACCCTAATCACCAACGTCCATATGCGCAGGTAGCAGAAAGAAACCACGCCCAGAGGAACGAGGAAGTGGATCAGAACAACACAGATGGTGTAAGAAGAGCTTGCTGTCTGGGTGAATGTGCAGGAGAAGACACGTGGGTCGTATTTTAGGGAACCAACAAGGAAGTTGGGCACGATGGCCAGAGCGGTTAGCATCCAGGTGAGGAGCAGGTACAGACAGGTGTTTCGACGAGAATACAGACGGTCGTAGCGGAGACTGTGGCAGATGTAGCAGTAGCGGTTGATGGCGATTGCCGTGATGTTGAAAACCGAGCCGATCACACTCAGTCCCATAACAAACCCACTCAGCTGGCAGTGCAGGGAGCCCATTGTCCAGCCATTATGGAAGACAGCGACCAAAGCCAAGGGGTAGGGGTACAGCGCCACCACCAGGTCTGCGACAGAAAGACTGACCACAAAGATGTTACCTATTAAAGATAGAGAAATTGAGAGTGACATAATTGTATCATATTTACATACTTAAATGTTTACATAAATAATTGAAGTTTATAACTAAATTATACCATATTGCAATTGCACATGATAACTGCAAACACAAAGTAAAATAAAATTCACCCAAATGAAAATTCTGTCATCATTTACTCAAGCTTGGAAGAAAAAAGAAGATAATTTGAAAGTCTTAGAGGGTTCAAACAACATTGGATCCCACTGACTTACATGGACAAAAATATTTTTTAAATTTCCTTCTTTTGTGGTCCACAGAAGCAAGAAACTATAAACCATAGTACAATTGTGATTACTGGGAAACTCGAATACAACAGCAAAGAAAAATAAACTCTTAAAGGAACACTCCACTATTTTTGAAAATAGGCTCATTTTCCAACTCCCCTAGAGCTAAACAGTTGAGTTTTACCGTTTTCGAATCCATTCAGCCGATCTCCGGTTTTGGCGGTAGCACTTTTAGCTGCAGCTTAGCATAGATCATTGAATCTGATTAGACCGTTAGCATCTCGCTCAAAAAGGACCAAAGAGTTTCTATATTTTTCCTATTTAAAACTGGACTCTTCTGTAGTTACATCGTGTACTAAGACAGATGGAAAATGAAAAGTTGCTATTTTCTAGGCTGATATGGCTAGGAACTATACTCTCATTCCGACGTAATAATCAAGGAACTTTGCTGCCGTACCATGCAGGCGCAATGATATTACGCAGCGCCTGAAGAGTCCCCAGCATGCTCCTTGTGCAAGCAGGTGGTCACGTTGGTTATGTTGACGGAAGTTAGTCTATTTTCAGGCGCTGCATAATATCATTGCGCCTCCTGCACCCATAAGCTCAGGGTGCTAGAGGGAGCTCGGCTCCCCTTAATAAGACATGGGCTCCCCTGAAAACATGATTTGTGAAATTTTGGGGGGTCTCAAAAAATATTGACAATGTGTTATTTTGAAGTGCAATTTCAGTTTTGTGTAATGTGATCATCGTGGATTATTATGTGTAAAATTGCAAAAATATAATTCATTCATTCATGCATGACGGCGATTTAAACCTAATTCACTTCAATAAAGATAACTATACATGCTATTCTTGTCATGAGCATCAAGGTATGGGGGGCGCTGCAGTGCAAATTCCACTCATGTTTAGTACATGTTAACGCAAAGATTCGTAGAAAAAATATAAACGTTGGACTCTGTCTGTGGTCGATTCTGTGTTAAGGTAAGGCATGTTATTCGCAATTATGTGTTGTGGCTGGGTTGTTACAGGTCTGCGTGACTCTCGATGTCTTAGGCCTAATTGAACGGACTTTAACCGTTGTTCATGTGAACTCAAAGACAGCCTGATGCTTTGTTTATAGACTATTTGTGGGTGGCTGTTTGTTGTTTCACCTATCAATTCTTGTTGATAAAGTATAATAGGGTAAATCCTGTATAGTGATTTATCCCAGTGTTTTCCAACCTTTTTTTAGTCGCGGCACTCTTTGGAAATTTTAACAAAGTTAACCCTAACCCTAACCCTAACCCTATTTTGTCACAATATTTGAATTTCTAACTTCGATATGATAATTTGAAAAGTATAGATATTCAGTACAACGGGGAAGAACTGCAGAATATAATGTCATACAGATATTTTTAATATTATTAAAAGATTGTGTCCATCAATGGTGGCAATCAGTAGGCTAATTTCTAATGAAGAGACCAATTTATATGACAGATTTTATAGGCTTTTATACATATGTAAACATTATTTAATTACCATTATAACTAGCTATCTCACAAATTTTTGCTCACAGTGTTTTTTTTATTTTACAGTGGGGTAATTTTGGTGCAGTAGCACGAGATAGCTTGATTTCAAACTTTGAATTGAATAAAAAATGACAAGTAAGCAGTCAGTAATAAAATAAGAACAAATAAAAAATAATGATAGCACAAATAAAAAATAACTACAGGCCTTCAAATTAAATAAATAGCTTTTTAGTTTTTCAGGTAGGTCTAACAGTAGGGTTAAGATATTTAACTTTTTTATTTTTACCAATTATCCAAATAATGTTTAGTCCTAGAAAACTATTATTATTAGAACACGTGAGCATAACATAGCAGCTCAATGAATGAGAGAGCAGCTTTAGCAGAGTTGCCCATATACCACACCTTGTTACAACACAGTAGGGCTATTGCAGACAGAAACAATACTGTACTACATCGATGTTTCCTGTCGGCTAAATTTTTGAGTGGACTTTGCTGTTCCGATTCGCATGAACGGTATACGAGTGGAGCGACTGAGCGGAGCGCACACGCATAGAGCGGGATAATTCCACACCACGTGAAAGTGAAACCTGAGCGGTGAACTAATTTTCGGCAGCCGGAACTTCGGTGCATCTCTAATTATTGGCGACATCAGAAATGGATATTATATAATAAATGCTTTTTTGAACATTTTAGCAATTTAAAAATATTAAAAAATGATTTTTTTTACATGGCACCCCGATTGGGAAACACTGATTTATTCTATAAATAAATATTCTATAAAATATAGTGCTTGCATAAAGCAAGTAGTGCATACACTTGTAGCTGTTATGTATCTTTGTTAGTCAATGTAAGCCCTCTTTTGAGGCATGTGCAAGCGCACGAACCGCAATAAATTGGACCCTGAGACCCTGGACCCTTTTTAAAACAACATCTTTTTGTGTTCCACAGAACAAAGAAAGTCATACAGGTTTGGTGCGCCATTTTTGGGTGAACTATCCCTTTAATTCACATAAACCCCTCAACTGTATCCAGCTGTATCATGTGGTGGATCACACATGCTCCACTCGCTGCACTCTCATTGTCATATTATTTCATAGTCAGATTATATCATTGTACATTTGCGTAGAGTTAAACTCTGCTCAACTTTGTTGCATCGCCAACGGTCTCTGTTGCTCATGTCGCCTCAAATCACCAACTCTCATTGAAAATGAATGACTTCCGGTTGCTTTGTTGCTACAAATCGCTGTCAGTGTGAACTATTACTCTTTTATTTTGCATTTGAGAATATAATAATTAAAATGTAAAATAAATTAAATTAAATTAAAAATAAATATTTATTTTCATCTCTTTTATTTTACATTTTAATTCTTTAATTAAAAGCTAAGCAACAAATGATTTGGCACTACAAATATGAAATATACTATATTTCTAAGCATTTATCAAAGTAATCTGAAACGGAGACAGAAAAGGATATTTGAATTAAAGGGAAAAAAAGAAAACAAAATATGAGTAGTAAAGTCTCTTTCACAGATTCTTTTCTTTTTTTTGTAATATCAGCATAGTGCATCTCTGAGACAGAGTATAAGTGTCCTTTAAAAGAGTGTGTATGTGAAGGTAAGATAAAGAGAGTCTGCGTCAGGACTGTGTGTGGACTGATAGAATACAGACATAAGTATGTAATTTATAACTCGATTACGGAGGCGCTGTAAGAACTATTATCCCTGCAGACTAACATTAAGTCTCCTCACACTGTTCACAACACTCTAAAAGATAATAAAGAGAAAAAAAAGCCCCACTGCCAGACCCTGTCTGGCTGCCTTTAAAAGCTAAGTAATTCAGCCTCATGTTCCATCTCAAAAACCAAACGGTCAGACAAATCCATCTTCTCTAAAAATGACCTCATTGTGTCTGTGCAAAAATGCATTTCTGATTGAATTGCCCCCGTAAACCCATTTACAAACCTTTATCTGAATTCAAATGCAGCTCATTTCTGCAGTTTAAATTATTCTTTGTTGCAACACTGATCAGGTCACACTTGTTTTGCTCACATTCATGAACTCTCATTGACTGTTTCCCTCCATCACACTCTGTCTCCATTTCAAACTAAAGGAGCCGAAAAGATTACATGTCAGGAAAACAGCCTCTTTTCCCATTTGGCATACATCTTTGAGAGTCAGTGAAACCAGCCCTGCTTATTATATGACCATTTCTACTTGAGGTTGAAGAACACGTTCATGGCCTATTCTGTCTGCAACAAACAGCAGATTGTCATTGCTGTAAGATTGTAAGGAGAGAAACAAGATTCAGTTACAGATGGCATCTGCCTGGTGAGCACAATTGCACACAAACACAAAATCAGATGTTAGAAAGCCTTAAATCTGTACCTTTCTCATCGTGTCACCTTTAGCATCAGACATGATTTATCTGAGCATTTCCTTTAAATCTACAGTGGCATTTTGACTAGTGTCTCAGCCTGCCAAACATTTGTCAACCCGAAGCCACAGCTGACAGGAAGTGTGCTTTGACAAGATCACCATCTCCCGCCATCAGTCTAGCACCCGAAGCATCACACACTGGACAACACACAGGGCTGCTTCAGCTCTCTGTGCTGACATGAAAAGTATATGCAGAAATTATAACCTTGAATAAGAAACGGAGCAATTCCAATAGGGTCCTCACACCATCGGTGCTCGGGCCCTAAATATCTGTACTTCTTATACATATGTTGTCGTGATGATTGATCCTTGCATAATACAGTTTTTCTGAATTGCTAAAACACTAAACCCCAATCTCTCTCTTTCTGCTAAACCTTAAACAAGTTCAGGCAGTTAGGCTCTATTTGCAAATCTCATGCACTCTTTTTGCAAAACTCTAAACACATTCTCATTCACTTAAACACTTATCACACTGTGATGCATTCATGCTGCAAAATGCTAAACACAAGCGGCAAAAGTTAAACACAACTAAAGCACAGTTGTCATCATTTACACACAACAATTCAAAATTGTTCACACTTGTTCCTAATGATGTGATCAAACCAACTGTACAAAATATGAGCCAGTTCAGAGTGCACAAGTGGCACAGGTTTCCATCCTTAGATGGAAACAATCTGAGAAGGAGAGGAGGAAGAGTACATGTAAGAAGTGGAGGATGAGGAGAGAAAGAGTAAGGTTTAGAGAGTGTTATCAAGGCTGGATCTGTCAGACCAGAGGTTTTTTTCTCTTTGTCTAGCAAAAAAGACAACTTTACTTGAGATGTGGACAAAGTCCTTAGGCTGGACTCAAGCACAAAGACATGATGCTGAGACAGAATGAATCTCTCATTGACCCTGATTTTACAATTACACAACTTACAGTATTTGAGTGTACTGTAACATGCTATTCATTTAGAGTGTTATTTGACCTTTTTGGCCTTTGCAGTTGGACTGCAGTATTTTTGCAGTATCCAAGTGCTGAATATATACTAGCATTCAGTACAATTCAGTATTCAGCACAATACTATTCTTGCAGTACATACAGTAGGCCTATGCAATATATTCAAGTATATTACTATACTTTTTTACAGAATTGCAAAATTGTTTACTCAATACAATATACTTTTTTCTATAAAGTTCTGGATGCTGTTTTCCATTTTTCTCTGTAGTGTCTAATGAATGCTCTGTAGTGTTTAATTTATTGAGTCGTGTGTGTGATCTGAGAGCACCGTTTGATTTTGAGTGCAAGTGAAATGGTTTTGTAGTGATTGTTTGATTTTGATGGAAGAGGCAGAGGTTTCATGATTTTAGTTTGAGTATTTGGATTTGTGTTTACGGTTTTGAGAAAATGAGTGATGGTTTCAAGAAATGTGTTTTAGCAATTCAGAAAAACTGTAATATCAATTCTCAAATTTTTTATATCAGTATCAATATTCAGCTTGAATGCCTGAATAATTATCATAAGCTTTGACATGGAAAAACCAACCATGTTAGGAAATACACTTTAAAAATGTTTTATGTAACCTAAAAAAGTTACATTCATTAAAATAATCTAGAGGTAAAACCAGAGATCTCATAATCTACAGTTTATTTACTGTTAATATGAGAATAGAATGTTTGAAACAAAAATAATGTAAATATAAACGTACTTGCACATAAAATAATGTTCATGCAGAAGTCATAATTCATCCATATCATTCAAATGAAAAATCACACACTGTATGTAAAAAAATGCATACTTCAGGTGAGTAATTTAAATACATATAAAATGTGTTTTATGCAAATTACTTACCATGCAGCCATGAGCTTTCATGTAGAACTAACTTATTTTACATGAGAACTTTTCATCCGCACATAAAAAGGTAAATTGTACAACATTATTGTGTTAATTATAATCAAAAATATAACTTTTGGTATAAATATCAGCAATATACGGGTTTGATAATAATTAGAATTCAGTACCAGAATGAAAATGCTAGTACCTTTTTCTAATTTTATTCTAATAGGAATCCTGATTATCTGCTTATTTAATTTGTAATTCTTAAAATATCATTTTTGGTATCAATATCAGTGATATTGGCCTTGCTAATACTTAATATCATGATGAAAATGCTAATGCCCTTTTATACTTTTATTCTAATAGGAATCCTGATTATAAATTCTGCTTATTTAATTTTTATTTTCCTTGGCTGAGCAAATTGAAGCATTTTGTACAATTAGAAATATTTTCAAGATACAATTCCCTCAAGGTTGCAATATCTATTCAGCTGAAACACTTTTTCAAATGCCTCAGTGGTCTGATTCTCTGTAGCTCATCACTGAGATCAGAGCAGAATCCTCAATCTAAGCTCAAGTCGGACCTGCAGGCTCGAAAAAACAGTTTTTGAATTTTTCAAACATTCACTGGAAATGGATCCTCTGGCAACAGTCAAAATGGTCAGGGAATTGCACACAGGTCACTGCGGGTTCTTCGCACTGACATTTACAATGACATTTATATGGAGAGTCAGTGCTGTTGGCACCGGACAAAGACGTCATTTCTGAGCGGGAAAGTATTTCGGACAAAACGGGGGGAAAAAAAGCTAAAAAGAGATTCTCTCACATTAAGACATGAAAGTTGCAAGTTGTCATTTAAAATACAAAGAAGCATTTTTACATTGTCTCACTCTTGGTCCCTTTAGAAGTTCAGTTGGATCTGAATTGCAGTTGGTCGCTTCAAATCTGCATGGACCTACAAAGCTGTCAGAGGATCACATGACCCACGGTAAAGGTACCATCAGAGTATCAAACCTTTAGAGAGCTGTATTTCAACATCTAATAACACCACAATCATAC